TTTCAATAAATCCATCGGGGACGGCATTAGCTATTGGTGAAGTTCAATTAAATAAAGTAACAATTGCGTATATGGATGGTAATACTACATTTCGATTTGTTTCGAAATTTTATGAAATTAGTGAATCTGAAAATTGGACTGGTTTTGGTCGTTCAGTTATCTGGCTCACTGATGATGAAACACTTGCTATACTTGTTTCTAAATCAACGAATCATAATTCGTCCCAATCAGAAATACAAGTATATAAAAATATATGTCCTAATCGAACTCGTGGTTCAATTATACCTAGTTTTGTTATTCCAAATAATCAACAAACATTGAATGATATTCAACGATTGAAGTCTTGGCGTAAACATTCTTTTCGTCGTATTCGAACACGCTCAAATAGTTTATTAATTCTTCTGAGAAATGGTGATATTGTATATATTCCGTCTGCCGCTCCTGGTTTTTGTTCTATGGAACTCGGATCAATTAATTTTTCAAATCTATATGTCTTGCAACCGAAACCGTGTGTGAGTGGATCGTATAAAGATGTATCTGGTCCTGGTCCGTGCACGATTTGTCCACCGGGTACAAAAAATTCTGGATATTATCCATCAGTTGAATGTCAACCTTGTAATACAAGTGCATTTTGTCCATTAGGCGCTAGTGATGATGTTAATTTAACTGACTTTAATTCATATATTCAAACATTTAGTTATCCAGATACACCGATCATTGATAATTACGATGATTTATTATTATTAAACTTTTTTCCTACTAATAAGAATATCGGTTGTTTGATTTATACACCTATTTTCTGGACTGCAGTAGCTACAATCCTATGTTTAATGACATGGCTTATTATGTTTCTTATTAAACGACGACATATAACTTCGATCGATACTTATCGTCAACGAGCAAAGATTGTTTTCAAGCATAATGATCTTATTGGACAAGGAGAACGATGGATTGGTGGTCTTGCATCAATCGTTATTTTTACTATTATCATATATTGTGTTGTATTTGCTTGCTTTTACTTCTATTCATATCCTATCGAGACAACAGAAGCAGTCAACAAAGCATGTGATGACGATCAACGAAATTCGAAATTTGATAATGCACTTCAATTACCTTTACCTGGAACCGATGGTACTTATTGGAAAATATTTGATATGCTCAATAAACAACCATTTACTATGACTATACATCTGATAAATACACGAGCTCAATGTGATGATATTACTGTTGAACGTAAGAGACATACAGGTACTCCATTATCGTTAGTCGAAAAAAATTGTACATTATCACCGAATAATGTTAGTGGTTCGTTCAGTTTTAGTCTGCCTACGCATACGTCGATTGTTCGAGTTGGTATCAATGGACCTTACTTTATCGGAGCACTTCGTCTTTGTCTATATGGAAAATCTGATAGTGAAACTGAAGATATGACATTACATCAACTACACGAACTTGATGTATGTACCCTTTTCTATACGAATAATCAAACGATTGGACTGTCAACTGCTTTTACTGTACGTCTTATCAAAGTTATTAATATAACAAAGCCATTAAGACGCAATGATAAAACGTATTTCGATGGTATTTGGGCTCCATTTATAACTTATATTGATATTCTCTCGGATGAATTATATTTTGCAGACAAAGGAAAATACTTACGATATACTTCTGAACAAACGACTATTAATATACAGCTTACAGAAGAAATCTATTTTGTTCAAAATAATCAATCACCAATTATTCGTCGAGGAGCACTTTTCTTTCATACCATTCTCTTTAGTTTTTCACTTATAGAAGTATTTGCAATGATTTTTCTTCTTTATAAACTTTGGTTCCATCCCATTCATCGACGTATTCTAGTGCCTCATGATAATCAAGCTGAGGACGAATTTCAGACGAATCAGGGGCAAATACCTATAGATGTAAGTCATTTTTTTTTGAACATGAGAATCTTTTTAATATTTTTATTTCTCTTTTATAGTTAAACTCACACTTATCACAGTCATCCAGACTACGAACTTCATTATCAAAAAGTAAAAGTGCAAATAATGGTCGATTACGTGAAAATCGGCGTTGGAATCTTCAGACGAAGATCAATCAAAATATTCGAAAACGCCAACGTACAAAAGATGGTACAAGAATTTCAATAGATTCAGAAATTATTGATTATTCAGATCAACCATTATCTTCGCCGCCTCTTGCAATGACTTGATTGTCTACTAGTGTTCATCTGAATAGTTCAATTAAATAAAATACCTTACAAACAATGTTGTCACTATAAAAATTGACACTAACAAATTAACTCAGTTGAAATCTTTCATATAAAAAAAATCATTATTTAATATAAATCAATAATAAAACAGAATCATATGATAAAAGCAAACAGTTCTATCTCATTCTCAATATTGTTTCATATATAAAAAACGATACGAATACTATTCCTTTCTTATTCTTAACGTAGCTCAATAAAAAAAATACGATCGTTAAATTATAATTTTAAAACATTTTCTCGATGTGCTATCCACAAAACACAATATACCTTATTTACTTTATATTTAGTCAGAAATTCTTTTCACTTTGAAAGAACAATAGCATACTTGTGAATATGATAAAATATCATAAGCTTCATAAAAAATTGATGGCAATATCCGCTTCAAACTTTTCAGTCGATTCGAAAGGAAGATTATAAGTACAATAAATTATCAAAGAATACACGAAAAATATATACTTGGAATAAAGATTTCAAGTCAATTTTAAATAACTGAATGAATACGGAGGATATATTATTACTCATACAGAATAATATAAAAAGACAACGAAACAAAACAAGCAAAAATAAAACGACAATATGTTTGAGTCAGTATTGCGTTAATATATTTTTCATGTGTTTCGTGTAGAAAAAAAATGAAGCAGAACGAAAAGAAAAAAATAAACACACAGAAAATTTTTCGACACGTTTCTAGTCATATTTTCGCCTCCCTATATTTGTTTTACTTCGTGGCCGTATCCAATTATATACATATATACGTATATAATTAAAAATAATTGTTCATTTGCATTACTAACAGCAAAATAATGGCAGAAAAAAAGATTTTTCGACGTCCTAGGAAAGCTCTTAAACAAGATATTTCATCTTTCAATGGAATACATGAAGATGCCGATGCACGAAAAGGTCAATATTCAACGTTAGTAGCAAATTATTATAGTTTAACAACTGATTTATATGAATTCTCTTGGGGTGGAAGTTTTCATTGTGCCAATCGTTATCGTAATGAAACATTTGCAGAATCAATTCAACGACATGAATCTTATTTAGCATTAAGAATGCAACTTAAACCAGAAGATAAAGTACTCGATATTGGTTGTGGTGTTGGAGGACCATTGAGACGTATTGCACATTTAAGTGGAGCACAGATTACTGGTGTAACAATTAGTCCATATCAAGTTCAACGAGCTCGAGAAATTGGTAGGCATTCTCATTCGATTTAGTTTTATAAATTGAAATTTTATTTCATAGGTGTACCTAAAAATTGTGAATTTATTCTTGGTGATTTCATGAAGTTACCATTTGAAGACAATAGTTTTGATTATGTTTATGCTATAGAATCTGTATGCCATGCACCGGACAAGGTATATTTTATTATATTTTTTCTTTATAAAGAAAAAAGTTTTTTTACAATGATTTAGTCGAAATGTTTTGCTGAAGTTTTTCGTGTACTTAAACCAGGTGGTTTATTTCTTGGTTATGATGCCTGTTTAACTGATAAATATAATCCTCAAAATCCTGAACATGTTGAAATAATACGTACAATGGAAGCAACGTTTGCCCTATCACAATTAAGATTGACTCGTGATTTCGTTACAGATCTTGAATCTACTGGTTTTACTGTTGAAGAAAATCGAATAATACCTATAGCTGATATTCCTGATTATCAACCATTTGATAAAGGTGAATCATTATTGTCACCCAATCTTCATCGCACAGGTCCTATTGCTCGACGCATGGGACATTATATGATTTGGTTTACAGAAAAAATTCGTGTAGCTCCTAAAGGCAGTACAAAAATAAGTGATACATGTCAAAAATCAGTTACAAGTTTCTTACAAGCTCGTAAACTTGATATATTTACATCGTTATTCTTTTTTTTTGCTCGAAAACCTTAATCACAAACAAAAAAAAGAACTTATTAATATGCGTTCTTTTTGTAATTAAAAAGTGAAACTCATACTTTGTTTTCAATTTATTTATATTCATATAAAATATGTACAAGGCATGATCTTGTGGGTGTGCATATGAGTAATGAAAGAGAAGGCATAACTACATTTTTCAAGGTGATGAATAATATCATAGAAGAAAGAAGCGAGGGTGAGGGTGTGGGTGTAGTTGAAATTCGATGCTCACACCCACACCTACACTCTCAAGATATCATCCTTTAAAATGATCATTCAGAAAAAATTCGATATTTCTTAGTAATAATAGACAAGAAGTCAAAACAAAAGATAAATGATATAGTTACTCTCTTCGTTTATTGTTTAGAACAAAACGAATACTTATATATTCTGTCGCAATTTCCCAAATCTAAGAATCCACAAGCGACCACGGTAGTATAGTAACCTATTCGCAATTTATAGTCCGGTGGACATGATTCTCTGCCAGGGTAATAACCATCACAGGTAATTTCAGTAACGGTTGACCAATATGAACTGGAAATCTTCCAATCTGTATATACCATGACTTGTATTCCACACATTGTACCAGGTAAATCATCACGCATCGAATTGGTTTTATAACAGAATATTGCAGGTGATTGTTGATGACGTTGATAGTCTTGAGGACATGCATCTGAATAGGGGTTACGACCGTCGCATAAAACTGTTAAATTTCCAACTTGATAACCACAAATAGTACCAGTAAGACTTGGTTGCTTGTCAGTAATAGTCTTACTGCAATGATACCATTTACTATCTTGCCAATCTCCGGGACAACCGAGTCTTGGGACTGCACTACCACAGGCAAGACTTATATTGTTACCACATAGTGTACCACTTAGTACCATTGGTTTTGGTTTTTCTTCGACTTTCTTGGAACAATCAATACCTGACCATCCATCATGACATTTACATTCACCAAATTGAAAAAAGCCTGTATCTTGACAACTACCATGACCTGAACAGTCATTTCCGTAGCAGTAGATTGGTGTATCAATGTAATTATTGAGTGCTTGTTCGATCAGTTTAGATTTCATAATGATATTAGGATCATTTGGAAAACGACCTTCTGCTTGTGTGAGAATATCGAAGATATATTTAATGTTAAATTTGATAATAACTGGATTAGCCTGTACAGTTTTAGCCCAATCATCTATTTTACTTATGGATGGATCGCCACCCAGCATTGTAGTATAACTTTTGGATACATGATTCATGAACATTGCATGTGTTTCATTATCACTGTTTACACTAGGTTTCATACCAAAAGTTAATAAGAACTGTAAATCTGCTTCATGACTTTTCTTAATTCCTTGGGCTTCAAGAGCAGTAGCATTTGATGATTGAATTACCATACTTTGCTGTGCAATTCCACCTAATACCAGTGTTGTAACATAGGCATATCCAAAATAACCAAAAATATAATCATTAATATACTTTTCAGTAAGTGCATTGTATTCACAACATGGTAAATTTTCGATAACATAACGGAAATCATCCGATAGATTCATTCTTGGTTCAAACATTGATAATTTTGCATGAGATATTTTTAATGTAGTATACAAAACTTCCGAGCTTTCTTGGTAGATTTTATCGATCATAAACCGAGTTTCTTTCGAATATTTATAACTAGCAGACATCCATTGATATTTACCGCCGCCACTGATCTCAAATCCATTTTCTGTTACTTGTTTCAGACGTTCTAGTTTATCAATCACTTCTGTATCTGTTGATCTTTCGCTGCCTGGTAAACATTGCATTGTAACTGCTTCTGGAATGAGTTTTGTAGTACAACCACCAGGTGGACTTTGAACGTAATTTAGTTTGAATATAGAATTACGAAAACCATCGACTTGACAGCTTGCAGTATAGCAAACAGGACTACCGTGCAATGGATCATAGCCAATACCGATATTGTTACTATTTTCTAGTGTTTCCATTCGTCCTGTTGGCAATGGTCGATGTGTTTTTAGATATTCACCAACACGTACATAAGTTTCAAAATCTTTATTAATGAAATCGCTCTGTACAAAATTAACAAGTAAAACTACTTGAATTAAGAAGATAATCTTCATTATCAATTTATCTTCTGTTTTGTATCTTAAGAATCGAATGCAAAATAATAAATGAAATCATTATTTTTTTTTTAAATATTTCTTCATTTTCAGCAGCTGTTAAATTTCTCATATGAATAAGAGAGAAAAATATTTTATTTTGCAAAATAAAAAGTGAAAGTTTATCTAGTTATATTTTTTACTTTCAAGGCTATTTTAAAATATTATTATCACAATATTTTTTTGTTAGATATACTTGTTTGTTTGTTTTTTGTTTCTTCGTTCTATCTCATAAACGATAATACGTGTATTTAAAATGCTTTTTTTTCTCTTGCTTTCTGGACATTTGTTATTATGTTTTGTGTTACACATCATCGGTTTCCACGCGCTTCTCCTATACTAGAATATTAACATTTATATCTATTCATTTGTATTTTTGTATCAACATGTCTTGCTGTGGACAACAACAAGGTGGTAAGTGTGAAGCTTATATTGAAATAAAAAAAATTTCTTATTTTATTTTTCTATTGAAGATTTTCAACCATCGTATGATCCATTACCTGCTAATATATCATTCTTTTTTGCTGATGGTGTTCCTGCTCCTACCAGTGGAATTTATGAATTAACACCAGCTCCACCTGGAGGTTTATCAAGTTTAGGACAACGAGTCAACGCACAATCGTTAAACGTTGGTAATCCTAAACCACCTACGAACTCATCCCCAAACTAATTTTTTTTTAAATAAATCTATTAACTGAAAAAGAAATTTTATCAAAATAATTATAAATATAAGACGGATGTGGTTGGAAGAAAAACGAACTTTTTATCTACACCCATACCCTTGATTATCTTCATCATCAGTCTATCCTATAAAGACAATTCTTGATTAATTATTAAATACAATGATATATTCACATCATAAATAAAAGTCGATGGATAGAAACAAGGAATACAAACATATTCATTATGAGAAACACTTTTGAATGCAAAAGTTAAAAATTTCATAATATAAATAATATTTAAATACCTTCGCTAGTTGCTTTTTTTTATGAAAGGAAATCTTTTCGACTGATAAAAGATTTAAATATATTAAAACGATATTTTATTAAATCACTCCATCTATTTCATCAACGTTAATACTGCTCTTATTACATTGTTTAGTTTTCTTAGAGACTAAATAAAATATTCGTATCAATATAGCATTATTCATCGACCTGAAAAATATTATAAGAATACGATTTTTAACCTCATTTCGATAAATATTCTTACAGATAACATCCATTGCCATTCTTTTATAATACAAACAAATATTTCAAAATTATTGATACATTCATTTATAAGAGAACTCATCATCTTCAATTTTCCTGCACTGAATGTTTGACTAATTGCTTAACGTTGACAACGCCACTGTAAACCAGAAAGTTGTTCGATAAAAGCTTCATAAAGAAATTCAGGATCACTCACAACTAAAACTGGACGAGATCCTTTAGATAAATTCCATATATTTTGCCATATTGTTTTGTCCAAGTTTCAAGTTGACGATGATATGATGCAGCATTCTAGAAGTAGATGAAAATAATAAACTAAGAGACTAACAATTACAAGACATAATATCAATGACCGAAATAATTCATTATATACTTTAATATGAATAAAATATAATCCATCGATGACGTGTGCAATTCTTTTTATATTATTTTATATCAGTATGCACAAAAGACCCACGTTGGACATCATATTTTTCGTACCCTGTTTTATTTTATTCTTCTTTTTCTTTCACAAATGTAACGAATACGTACTAAATTACAGTCATTTAGTGTATTTACAACAGATTTTATTTTAATAATATAAATCACAAGTAGATACTACAGATGGGATATATATAAAACTAATTAATCAATAGAGTAGTTCTGAGAGTATGAGTTTGTGTATTCTTTGATTTTACCAACATATTTCGCATGGATCAATTTCACATGCTATGTATTCAACACAACATTCAACTGGTTCTGGACAACACTTGCGAGGTTTTGCATCGACGCATATGATCTCTTCACATATTGGCACCGTTTTAACATATGTTATTTGAATATCATCACAAGGATCACAACAATTTATTTCATAACAGCAATCAATTTCATAACAACAATCGCATTCATAACAGCAATCACATTCATAACAACAATCCATTGGATAATAATTTGAAAAATACTTGACTTCCACTGAAAATTTATTTGTTAAACTATGAAAAACTGAGCATGTATATATATACGCCGATAAAAAGTTGTTTTTCAATAATAAAAATGCAGAACAAATTTATTATTTTTTTTCCAGTGACATAAAATATCAAACATTTATCGATATAAAATATTGCGCAATTAACGCCTATCAGCAATATTTTTTTCATGTTCTTTAGTAATGAAAATGTTCTTAAATTGATGTTTCAACTTCGTTACAAAACAAAATCACCTGACGTTAGTGTAGAGAACTTTATTAATAAATATGAGAAAAGTGATACATGAAAAGTATTTATTCTTATTATAAAGTTCAATGAGCTTAACGAGATACTTGCTAATAAGTAGTAGGATATGTGTCTAATGGACGACTAATAATACCATCATTGTTTAGATCAACATGAGTTGCTCTTTCGATTTTGCTTTCTATCCCTAATTAATAATAAACAATAATATTCGATGTGAAAAGTAAAGATATTTACCTTCTCCTCCAATATATCCGTCACCGTTAAAATCTACACCATATTGTTTCTCAGCATTTTTTTCACTTCCAACAAATCCATCATGATTAAGATCGAGACCGGACTTTTTTTCAATAGCACTTTCAATGAAACCTGAAGAAAATTTTGTAAATTTTTTCAATGTTTATGGGTATAGCTTACTCATTATCGTCGTTTGATTAACTTGTTTACGAATGATGAAGAAACTCGATGAAGGTATATACCTATATAAATATGAGATTCTCTTCATCGATAATTGGGTATAGAAAAAAAACAAATACATATTTTTCTCATTGGTTACTCATATGAATGTATAAATCGTTTTATCATTCTATCGTCATGTAATTATTTATACATTATTCAAGCATAAACACCATATTCATAAGATGGTACATACGTATCGTGACCACGTGATCATTGTAGTAGTTTATTCATCTATAACTACGTATATTCAATACACTTTCAAGTAAAAAGAGGAAAATATATACTGCCTGCAAGGAATAATTTTTTTCCTGTATTTTTTGTATATATTGTTGTCCATATCGAAAGTCACATATAGAAATAGTTTAAATACGCTTCTAATGGCGTAATTATATGAGATATTTTCTTTGAATACAATTCAATTATCAAGTTTTATATTGAGTGCAAGAGAATGATTTTCTGTGTACTAATGTTTAAATGACTTGTCAAGTTAAATTTATTTGAAAATAAGTCGTCTTTATCAATTATTAGCTACACAACTTTTTCATATTCTTGTCAATGTATCAGTTCTTATTGTTACTCTATTCACGGGTTTGGCTTAAATTACAAACGCATAGTGAAACCATCTTAAGGATGTGGGTGTCTATCATCTCATGACCCATCCATACCCACACCTTTCTGAATGTTTGAGAAATAGTTCAGGAGTTCAAGTATATTTTGTTTGTCGTCTATAAAGCAATGATTTGTTGATGATATACTAATGAATCCCAATAAGCAATACTTTTGAAAAATTTCTCAGATGCTAGTTACTCGACATCTATTTAAAAAAAAGAAGAACATTTCATTAGTTAATTCCGTTTCATCTTATTCTGTGTGTTTGGAGTCTTTGTTATATTAATTGATCATCAATGATTGGTTCTTATTTAGACAATGCTCGCCGGGCATAATTCCTCATATACATATCGATGTGTACGTCAATTTTAATCTATACAACCACAATATATTAAGAAGAATTAATTTGTCAAATATGGGTATGCATTTACTTTATAATATCGTTGATTTTATGATTTTTTTTATATGAAAGATGCTCTTCAATTGCTCGATTTACCTGATGAGTTGATATTAATGATTATGAAAAAAGTAAATCCTCAAGTGCTGTTTCTTTGTTCTATGATTGACATTGGTAATCATCGTTTGGAACAGCTTGCATTTGATAGATGTCATTCAGTTGACTTGTCCTTCGATTTTTATCAGGCACCACATCAATCGCTTATGAAACAATTTTATTCTCATCTTATGCCTCGTATCAGCCATAATATTCGATCATTAACAATCCTTCTTAAACACATTTCGTCGATTCGAACTTTTGTTGAAGATAATTGCGATGGTGCTCTTCCAAATTTGACACACTTAAAAATTCTATTGGGAGCTAATCGTGCTAAAACAGGCATACCTTATACAATAGGTAACTTATCAATGATTAGCTTTTTCGAAACTGTCTTTGTCTATCGGATTAGTTTAGTTTCTTATTGAGAAAAGAAGAAAATTTTTATTATGTGAGAGTTCAACAATCTTTTACTGATTTTTGAAGCAAAAAAAATTCATTTATTACTTATGTTTTGAAGAACTCTGTTCGATTGAAAATAGTGAGCAATCAACTTTCTATAACATTCACTTTTCTCAACATAATGAAACATCTCGCAATAAACATAATCGATAAAAAGATATAAAAGTCTTATCGATTGATTCAGTCATTGTACTATCGAAAAGAACTCATTTGACAAATATTACATTGTGAATCTTGCATACATTTATTTTAGGATGCTCCCAAATGTTTTGGTTTGAAAAGCGCTGCAAACCTCTCTTCTCATTTGTACCTCAATATTTTGTGTTACCTGACTACAGTTATGGAAAAGAAGTAGCTACCTTGTGTCGTTCATCACTTTTACGTTCTGTTCAATCGTTCGAACTTGATGATAACTGTGTTTTAGCCAAAACACTTGGCGACGATGAATTACGCTTCCATCAACTAACTCGATTAACTCATATTCGTATATCTTTCTGGAATTTTGATGAATGTATCCATTTACTAAATCAGTTAGGTTCACAACTTCATTCCTTCATAGTGACTATAGGACAAGTTTCGGACTACAATCCATATGTACCGACGAAAATCTTATTAGTAAGTAAAATTTCAAGTTTTAACATTAGAATGATTTGACTCATTTAGATCTCGTGTCCTCATTTAAAACAAATGTCAATAACAATATATCATAATTTTAATAACTATGAACGATGTCTTTCTCTTGTACAATGTTTGTCAAATATTGAATATTTAACATTATTATTAGCTATAGGCAGAGGAAATACTCAGCCTTCATATTTTATTGATGGATTTTTCCTCGAGAGAAATATTCTTCCATATATGCCTCATTTACGTCAGTTTCACTATCATATTCGTTCAATCTTAAAAAATGCTTCGCGTATAACAATTGATAAAATTCGTCAAAGTTTTGTAAAACATGAACAACCGTTTGATTGTGCAGTTGATTATTTTAAGAATAATTATGGACAATGTCAAATCTATTCACTGCCATTTATTGGTACTCGTCTGGATTTTATCTCAAATCGATTTCCGCTTTTGGATATTAACAACACGTTTTCAAATGTTACGACCCTTCTACTTTTTGATGATATCAAACCTTTTGAAAGGATTTTCTTTGAACGTCTCGCTCGAGCTCTGCCTCGACTTAAAACACTCGAGATAATTAATCAACTTGAACAACAAGAAAAAACAGCAGCAGCATCGATAAACTCTAATATTGACTTTACTCATTTAGCTGTTCTTATTTTATATGATATTCATATAAATTATGCTGAACAAATTTTCTATCAATCTCATCTTCCTGCTCTAATTGAACTCGCTATTGACAAGGATATATTGTTAACAATAATCGATCAAAATCAACAACAAGCAAAAGACAATTGTTCAAGAGTAAACAGACTACTAACATCCAAACCATCTTATGAATCGAGACATGCTATTCGAAACTTTTTTCCACTTGCTATCTATGTTAAACATTTTGGTGAATCAAAACAATAAAATAATTCGTTTATATAAGTATCAGCTATTTCTCTCAGTGAATACTGTTTTCCAAAAGCTAATCAAACGCAAACATGAGATATGCGTGCAATTTTTTAAGGAGAAAATTCTCTCAGAAACATAAATAATTTAATTCTAATCTTTTTGTTTAGAGCGGACCCTAATCCAGTAACTTCTCTTTTTTTGCAATATTGCATGTCTCTCCAGACACCGTAAACTTCAATTAAAATCGAACTTTGTCGATGTTTCTTCTAATGATTTCAGTCAATTCATTTTCTGTTTATTAGGTAAAAATAGATTTATTTCTCAGAATTAAACAAAACGAATTTTCATGGAAACAATAAATAATATTATCAACGATAATCTTATCTTTTCTCCAGATAATTAAATGAATTGTTAAGTAATTAGAAATGACTTTAATCAGTCTATGATGATAAACCGTGTAACAGAAGATATGAAGAATAGAAAATAAATCAGTATACATAAGCAGGTCCATCTTTTTTAAAATAGATTTATCTTCTGTAAAGTTCTTATGAAGTTTGAAAACATTTCTATCTGTCAGTTAACATAAAAAGAACAATAGTTTTCAATAAAATGTGTTATTCGATGTATCTGTAAAACAATATGTCAGATAGAAAACTTTCCAGTGAATACCAAATATTAAGAAGAACAGAATCTATAAAACGTTCAAGTCTATCTTTAGACATTTCTGGTTGCACTTCATTCGTATTATAATGTTCGAAGTGAATTATTTTGCGTTGATTTTGATGATCCTTTATTTTTTCGACAAAAAATATCCTTCCAGAGAGAATATATAAGAACTTCTTTTGCATTTCTTCAGAGTATGAAATACCTTCAAACTGTAGTGATTATGAAAAAAGACTAATAGCTGTTGAACATGGTCGAAGAAATTCGAAAGTGATAATAACATTAAGTGTATTTTCTGTCTTAATCGCAGAAGAAAACATTTCAGCTACACACAGATCAGTTGTTGTTGAACAAAATGTTTTAATTTTAAAATGACTTCCTTTCGAATGTAATCCATATTGATATTTTATAAATTCATTTTTTTCATTGTTAGTCCTCGAAAAGAAAGTGTGGGTGATATATGAGAAGAATACAAGCACCCGCACCCACTCACCTACAGCCATACCCACACCAACACCCTCGTTCACTTTCAAGATGAGTTGATAAGATTCGAGAGAATGCATTAAATTCACAAAGAGATAAATGATTTTACTATATTAATTGAATTTTGCGTTCCAAACTAAAATTTTATTTTATATTTTAATAGTTTTATCACTTCTTTACCATTCGAAAAGGTATCATTAATAATCAATCGTACAGTCATTTTTCTAATATTTTACTATTAAATTCGAATTATTAGCTTTTGTCGTTTTTCTATAAAATACATTAATCAATTCTCAATCTTCTATTAATAAATCTCTAGCAGTTCGAAAAACAACGAAGCAAATAAGACGATGGAAAATTTGTTTTTTTATTTCTTACAAAAATCAAACGCGTAATCGAAGAAAAGAATGGTATGCATCACCATGTCGTTGCAATTTTTTTAGGAATGATACAAAATTGCGCGGAAAATCTTCTTTTTTGATTACGGCACATTTCAACGCTGATGTAGCTCTGACAGATGCTTCGTGATTAGTTTCGAACAGAAGAGCTAAGCCACCAAAGAATGACATTGGACCCAACTGGCCTCCACCACTCGATTGATCCTAACATTCGTTTTCGTATCCAGGTCGAACAATCCCATACGTGTAAAACTCGAGCACTCTACTCGAGTATTAAACTCGACTCGAATATTAAACTTTACTCGAGTATTAAATTTTATAATTCGAGTACTCGAATATTAAACTCGACTCGAGTATTAAATTTTACAATTCGAGTACTCGACTATTCAACTATTCAACTATTAAACTTCTAAAAGTTTATTATTCGAATACTCGACTATTCAACTATTCGAGCTTAAAAATGTCCTCTCTTGGAAAGTACCAAGCTTTCCCCTCCACCCACACCCAGATCCTAGCTCAGTGTGGGTGTAGGAGAAGGTGCGAGCGGTATGGGGAGGGAGGGAGGGAGATCTTAATGTGGGTGTACGGGAAGGTGTGAGCGGTAGGGGGAGGGGGAAGAGCATAATGTGGGTGTAGGGGAAGGTGTGAGCGGCATGGGGAGGGGAAGAGCTTAATGTGGGTGTAGGGGAAGGTGAGAGCGGTATGGGGAGCGGGGAAGAGCTCAATGTGGGTGTACGGGAAGGTGTGAGTGGTAGGGTGAGTGGGGAAGACTTAGTGTGGGTGGAGAGGAAACCTTGGTATTTTTCAAGTGGGTATAGTCTTAAGGACGAGCAGTGTTATAGTCGAGTACCTGAATAATAAACTTTTAGAAGTTTAATAGTTGAATAGTCGAGTACTCGAATAATAAATATTTAGAAGTTTAATAGTTGAATAGTTGAATAGTCGAGTGCTCGAGTAATAAAATTTTAGAAGTTTAAAACTCGAGTAAAAGTTTAATAGTTGGTAGGAATTAACGATTTCTACACTACTGAACAATCCTGCCCGGAAACGGTCGGTTCCAGACAATTCTGGAGATTTCATGGAGTACTGCATCAAGAACCATCGATCTGGGCATTGGTGATGCAGCTTGTACTGATGCTCCATGCTCTGCTTTAAAGAGCAGAACAAAGCCACCAAAGAATGATATTGGACCCAACTAGCCTTCACCGTTCGATCCTGTTTCAGTTTCATTGTCATCAACAACTGCCATACCTAAACAAAAATTTGTTATTTTTGTACCGTTAATAATTATCTAAAACATAGATCCTGGATTGCCTTTTTCAATGATAACATCGTTTTCACTAAAGGTGGTTATCGACATACTCCATATTAACTGGTCTCTATCACCATCATTCGGATTTTGGAAAATTTGTATCGAGTTAATTAACGCTCTATATTTCTCCATATTCTAAATGACAAAAAAAACTCGTTAAACAATCAAAAAAAAGTTTTCTACCTACAGCTGTCATCGATGAAAACTCTTGATTATATGTTTCATCATCGTGATCATAACTAAAATCTTCAACTAAATTTAAACTTTCTAAATTAAAGAGAAATATTTAATTGTAATATATATACATTCTTACCGCTGATTATTTTGTTTATCACTAGTAGAATTGGTTTTAAATATGTCGAAGATAAAAGATAATTTCCTCTCTCGTGTTCGAGTTAGTACGATGATTGATTCCGAAAGGTGTAAAGAATGGAAAAACGTGTCGATCGAAATGAATAAAACAGAAAAAAATAAACGTGAAGAAATGTATAATATAAATAGATAGTTAAAATAAAGTAGACAAGATGTCAGTCATTTAAATAGAAATCAGTTCGTCATATAATCCAGCAACTGAAATTTTGTGAAATAAAGTTTTGTTTCAAATTACAGTTCTTGAACAGTTCTTGAATTTTTAGGTAAAAGATATGGTAATAATCTTGTACCTGTTAGGTCTTATCGTGTATATGTATACAGCGAAAAAAAAGAAAAACCCAATCTTACCTGAAGATGGCCAATGATGAGGATGGTGATGTACGTAGTCTATTTATGAAAACAAAGGAAAAATAACAATAGAAGAGAGGGGAGATATATAGGGATGGCTAGACGGAAAGAGCAAGTGATACTTATAAAAGTAAAAGATCAGCTGAACTGTGTTCAAATATACTGAAGAGAGATAGAAAGTGAGAAAATATGTATAAACAGAGCGGGAAAAGGAGCAGAACGAAAAAGAACCTGATGTGCGAAAACATCAGGAAGGGGAGGGGTATATGGACGCTTGATCATGAACAGTGATTAAGTAAGTTAGCGGTAACTTAGTGATATCTGTTATCGGTAACAATGTTAAGGTGGAACACTTCTCACAACATAAAGCAAAATAAGTACTAGTATTAGATATTATTTTTAGAAATAATAAATACGAAAGGTAACACTGATGAAATGAATATAAATCATTTATATTGATAACGTATATTTTTAAATGTTCTTATTTTCCTTTTTTATTATTTTTATTTTTAGTTATGAATGTCATTTGTATAGCTACATGGATTGTATGTTTTAAGTCATTTATTGATTTCCATAAGGGTCTGCTAGTTAAAATACTCTATTTGATCACTCATTTTTTCCAATCGCTTTTGAAACCTTGGGTTCAAACATCTCAATAGAAAAACGAGAATGGAATGTGAAACATTAACTTTATTTGATCGTCATAAGAATAAATTATAAATATACTTTTTTTTTATGTAATTGATAACACGTTTTTTTTCTGTTGTGCGTTCATTTCATCACTTCCAATGTCTCGAATTTTATCTTTTTCTATTCTATGTAAATAAAAAAGATCAATTAAAATGATAGACAAAAAGCGTAGGTATAATGACTATATACCCTCTAGCAATTCATCATATTTTATTGACAATTGACATAAATTTATTTTTTATATATAATATTTATATATTATGGACGATATTATTTCTCGAACACCGATTTCAAATGATAATACCAGTTCAATAACTGTGGAACTTGATGATCGTATCTCTTTCAATGAAAAAAGCACAGGTAGTACGTCAATCAGTAAAACATCTATTAATGTTGTTCATGAACCAAAAACTATTGATTATAAAGCAAGGCAAACTTTAATTCGTAAACTTGACTTACGTTTATTACCGATTCTTTCGTATGTTATTGAAAATATTGAAAATAAAAATGAATTTATATTTTAGAATTATCTATTTTTTATCTTATCTTGATCGATCAAATATTGCTAATGCAAAAATAGGTGGTATTGAACATGATATTCATCTAACTTCCGTACAATATCAATGGTCTTTATCAATATTCTTTTTTGGTTATGTACTTTTTGAAGTTCCATCAAATATAATTCTTAGACGATGGAGACCATCTCGATGGATTTGTCTGATCATGTTAATTTGGGGTTTATATTTATTTTAAAGTTCTTTTCATATTTCTAATCATTATAAATTATTTTTTCTAGGAACAATAGCAGTATGTATGGCTGCTATTTCAAATTTTACCGGACTTCTTATTTGTCGTTTTCTACTTGGCGTTTTCGAAGCTGGTCTTTTTCCAGGTATTATCTATTTTATGAGTCTTTGGTATCCAAGAAAAATGCAAGCAATTCGACTTGGATTCTTTTGGTCATTTTCAGCATTAGCAGGTGCATTTGGTGGTTTAATAGCGTATGGTATTGGTCAAATAAAATCATCAAAAATTGCTCATTGGCAATTAATTTTCATTGTATTTTTATTTGAAATTTCATGATTTTTTTGTATGTATATATATTTGAATTTAGATCGAAGGATTTCCTACTATTCTAATGGCTATATGTTGTTGGTTTTTCTTACCTGATTCACATGAACAAGCACGATTTTTAACTGTTGAACAACGTCAACTTGGAATTGAACTTTTAGCTGAAGATTCTGGTGCATCTCATAATCATTCATTTTCTTGGTCACAAGTGAAGTCTATTTATACTGATTGGAAGACTTATGCATATGCAATTATCTATATAACAGGCACAACAGCATTACAAGGTGTAACACTTTTTCTACCATCAATTATTGTTGGATTAGGAAAATGGACACCAGTTCAATCACAATTAATGACTCTTCCACCTTATGCAATTGCATTTATTGTGACACTTTTACTTTCTCGTAGTTCGGATCAGTAAAAATTCTTATTTTTTTTTGTCTTTAATAATTTTTTGTTTTCATAGTTTTATTGAACGTTCATTTCATCTTATCTTTACAAATCTTATATCAATCTCTGGTTTTTTAATTCTTATGTTTGTTGATCGAAATCGATCTAGTATTCTCTATTTTGGTATTATTCTTTTAACATCAGGTGTCTATGCCAATGTTAGTTTAAAAATTGCATGGTTTAATAATAATTTGTAAGTTAAATTAATTTAATTTAATTTTTTAATCATTGTTATTATATAGTGCCTCACTTACTCGTCGCGCTGTTGCATCAGCTACTATTGTCTCGATCGGAACGATAGGAGGTGCTGTTGCAGGTCAAATCTATCAAGATAAACAAAAACCACAATATTTCTTAGGAAATACTATTGCACTTTCTTGTATTATAGTACAAACGATACTTGTATTATTACTTCGATTTATTTTTATCTATGAAAATCGTCGTCGAGAAAGATTTACCATCGAACAAAGTCAAAGACAAATTCAGCGATATGGTGGAAGTGATTTGGTTGGAGATCGTCATCCAGACTTTCGTTATACTTTATAAGAAAATGTGTATGCAAGTTAAATCTAATAACATCATGAATTTTTTTCGTTCTTGCTAATTCAATATAATCTAAAATCATTTTTTCAAAAAAAAAAAGAATATTTGTTTATTTTAATAAACAATCAAATCATTTCCATTGTACATAAAATGTCCTTCAAAACACTTTCTATCATAAAAAAGAGAAACAAGTTTTCATTTTGAATTGATGTTGTTTTAATTTCAATTAAAAATCAACGAAGAAATAATTGAATATCGATATTTTTATGTAATTCAATAATGTGAAGTTGTTTAATCAATGAACAAAGTACAAAATAAAATAAACTTCTTGACTTTTTATGTATCTTGAGGAGAGGTGTGAATGTGGGGGTGAGTGTGAGCAAGGATGCTTAATTCATGGTACACACACACGAGCACCCACCCCCTTCTCACTTTCATAAACACTGTATACGGTCAAATTAATTTTGTATTTATTTTTCATTTTGATTTTCTTACAAACAAACTTCTGATTATTTTGCCGTACGCAAATACATTACTTGGTTAGAAATCAAGCAAAAATGAAAACAAAAGTTTCTTTAACAAGCATTTAGCACACTCTTTAGTGGAGGAGCTAGAAAAACATAACCAGCTATCCCTTCATACTTGAAACCACCTTTTCCAGTTGCACCGAGAACAAGTGTGTTAACTTCACAAATGCTTGTTGTATATAGATGAACATAATTGACTGGATGTACATATCGATGAAGAGGTACTGTATCGAGCTCACGAGTGAGATAAATGTAACCAGCCACCTTTTCCATACGCCACGGTCCAGCAGCAATGTTAGGAGGTTTTAGATTGATCTCTTCCCAGTTAGTCGTATAGAAGTGATCATCACTGCTCAAGCTCACATATCGATAGAGTGGCACTGTATCCACAGGCTGAGGGTCTCCCGGACTATGAATCAGACATGCCACACCTTCATATCGATACCCAGCATTTCCGGTAGCATTTATAGTTGTAGTACCAATTTCAGTCGGATCATCCGTGTAGAAATGATAGTTGGGAACAGCAGCAACGTACCGATAGAAAGGAACAAGTTTAGCTGTAAAGTAAATAATATATCAAATAAAAACATATTATATCTTTTCATTATACCGAATGTTGATGTGGCAAGCAGAAGAAGCACTATCATACGAAATATTTGGTCATGTAACAATTTCATTTTCAGAGCACTAAATACTCTGCTTACGCTGAATAAACTACATGATTCGCAAGTATACTACGGTTTTATATGGAAAGAAACGAACGATGAAATTCATATGCTAATAAATAATCAGACAAGAGTATGATTATACACTTCCTTTTTCTGTCCACGAAAGTATTGAATGTAAGCACTTAAGGGATGAAAATGTTTTGCAAGAACGAAAAAGGTTTTTGAATAATATACCACATCATATGCAAAACCAATAATCCATTTTTAGTTTCAAGTACTCAGTCAATATTTACTTACATACAAGCTTTTCTCAAGGTAATATCTTGAGAATGAGGGTAAGGGTAAATGAGTTTATAGAATAATCTCAAACTAGGATGAGGGTATGGGTAATGAATGAGAAGAATACCCACACCCACCATCTAGTCTCTATATTCAAACATTTTTTTTGTGAGATTACTACAATCTCTATGCAAGAAAACATTTGAATCATATTATAATTATTATGCTACAAAAATGAAAATTAATCAGAACCTGTTAGTATTTTAAAGAATATAAAATACAAATATCGATCATCGTAAACAAAAAAAAATATTTTTTTGTAAATTGTTGAATAATTAATCAACAATTGTGCAATTAACTTGACCATGATTGATTATTTGACAAAGATCATATACTGCCATGAGACGTTCATCATCGTCGAATCTAATAGTAAATATAAAACTCTTAAATTTTCTACTAAACATCGAAATTTAACATACTTAGCAGTAACTATAATTTCTTGTTCATTGGTTGTTTCTGATTTAGCGACATTTACACCTGCTGCACCCAATTTAACTAAAACATCACTAAGTTGTACACTGAGTTCTATAATAAAAATTAATCTAAACATTTATGATCAAATCAAAATGTATTACCTATTGATTTAACAATAAATTTTAATTTAGATTTATTTGAATCTTCAGGCTTTTCAATCATTTCTGCATCCAGAAATATAGATTCATCCTAGAAATCAATAAAAAGAAATTATTCTTAATTAAATATTTTTTTCATTGTGAATTCACTGTATCGTTCGTGTTTGTATTTGTTATACATTGATAATCATCAAAACCAAAAAGATAATCAAGAAAACTTTCTGTATGTTGATAAAGATTATTAAATTTTTCATATGGAATCTGAAAAAGTATATTTAATTTTGATGACATATTTTTCCAAAAAGATTTATTATGTGAAACAGTTCTTAACCATGCAAACATAAAATCTCGTTGAAGACATTTTCCAATACCATATATTAATTCATCAATACCGGATTGTGATTTATTAACATTAAAATCTTCATCAATATATTCAATACTATTAACCATTGTAACCAGAGCAACATTATCATAATAAATAATTCCATCTTCTTTAATTGATTTAATTTGTGGATGAACATTATTTAATATTCTACAAAATTCATCTATAACAATTTGTCGATTTCTTCCTGACCACATATTCGTACAAACAAGTGCACAAAAAATATTTTTTTTATGACATTCATTAATTATCCAAACAAGATGATTTAATAAAGCAAATGAACCAGGAGAAGCACAATATATCATACATATTGGATGTATTTTTTCAATTAATGAATCCATATAATTATGTATATCATCTTCATTCCATGATTCAATTCCAGGTGTATCCCAAAATATTGTTTTATGTATTGAATTATTAAATGAACTTTCAAATGAATATTGTTCAATAGTTTTTGTATCAGAATTTAAACTTTGATTAGAATTACTAAGATTTTCTTGACATATTGCATTTATAAGAGTACTTTTACCAACACGTGATGAACCACAAAGAAGAATATTTGATTCACGAACATTATGAGACATTAGTTATTCTAAATCTAAAAAATGTTTCAATGTTACTTAACTAAATGATGAAAAATTGTTTATTCAAAGATGATTAAACAAAGGAAATTGTTTTAATAATATTTAATTATTTTCTACTTAAAAGCAGCTCTAATAATAAATGGAATTAAAGCTTTTGCAATATCTTTTCCATGATTTTGAAGTACTTCTTCTGCAATTGGTCGAGCTATTTTGTATACTTCTGCTAGTTGATTAGCCATTGCCGACCAAAATGATTCATTATCGGCAATTGTATGACACCATGCAATAAGTTTATCACCTTTTAACGAACTTGTTATACCAAAAAGAAGTTCATTAATACCTTCAGCTTCTTTTTCTATTCCGCGATCTTCATCTTCAAATGGAATACTATTCACTGTTGCACAAAGAGCAGCATTTCCATAATATTTAATATTATTTTCATTTTTTGTCATTGGTTGATATCGAGAAAGAAGCGAATGAAAATCTTTCAATAATTGTTCACGACTTTGTTTACCTCCACTATATTTATTTGTACAAACCAATGCACAATAAATATTTGATTTAATAGAACTTTCAATAATCCATTCGAGTTGATCAAGACGAGCAAATGAACCAGGTGATGCACAATAAATCATACAAACAGGATTACTTTTCAACATTATTCTTGAAATATGTTCTTGAACATGTTCTTTTGTCCATGATTCAATTCCAGGTGTATCCCATATTGTTATAGAATATCGATTTTCATTGGAATTTGAAGCTTCATTAGATGAAATATAATCTCTATTTAATATATACTTTTCCATCTGATCAGTTTTTGAAGATAAACTATTACTTGTTTTTGCTAATTCTCTTCCACATAAAGCATTAATAAGTGTACTTTTACCAACACGAGCTGAACCACAAACAACTATATTCGACTCGTTAGTCATAATTAAATCTTATCTAGAAAGAGAAAAAAATTAATATTTTATTTTATTTTTGAAATTTATTAAATAAATATAAAATCATATTCATTGCAATTTCTTGTCCAGGTATAAAACCCGTTGGATTAAGATTTGGTGTATGTAATGAAAAAAATCCACCAACTTTTTGACTCATTTTTTCCCAAAAACTTCGACGATAAAGTACAGCATTACACCATCCAAGTAATTTTTCATGATCGAGTTCATTCATAATACAATGAATAAGTTCATCAACACCTTGAACTGGTTTTATTTCCGATGATAAATCTGGATCATCGTATTCAGTTGAATTAACCATTGTACACAGAGCACCACTACCAAAAAGTGTTACTTTATGAGGTATTCTAGTATGTTCTTGTTGAAATAATTTTTCAATAGGTTCACCAAATCTTAAAAGTTCTTCTTCAAATTCTTGAATAACTTGTTTTCGAGCTGGACTTGCCCACATATTTGTACAAACAAGTGCACAAAATATTTGTTTTGTTTGACAATATTCAAGAACTGGTCGAAGTTGTTTAAGATCAGCAAATGCACCAGGTGATGCACAAAAAATAAGACAAACAGGATCTTTTTCTGCAATAAATTTTAACATTGTGGATTGACCCTGTTCATTAGTCCATGATTCAATACCAGGTGTATCATAAAAATTAATTCGAAATGGTTTAATACCTGGAGTTCGTTGTTGATTATCTTCTAGCGTATAGCATTGAACTTCTGTAGTACATGAATTAAGACTAGGACTTGTTTTTGCTTTTATTTCTCCATTACTTAATGCATTAATCAATTGACTTTTTCCAACACGTGGTGAACCAGTTAAAATAATATTAAATTGAACTTTACCTGTTACATGATTTACTTCAGGTAGATAATAATCTTTACATAATTCATCTTGAACAACAGCTGTTTTTTTATGTAAAAGTGATAAAGAATTTTCTTTGCTTAATGATTTACCACTTGTTGCATCAGTTAATATTCTATCTGAATATTTCTCATTCGATTTTGCATACGTGTTAGAATTGATCAGAGGACTAAACATCACAAAAGAATCAATGTTTTTAATATAAGAAAGAAGAATTTACTGTGCATAGTTTAATTCACGATGACTTTGATCTTGAGAACAGTCCAACTAAAATATTAAAAGATGCGTTTAAATATGAAATAATTGAGAATAATCTTGACTATACCGAATGAATATAATATAAAGATATTTCTATTTGTTCGTTACAAAATTGACATGGAATAAATATATCATCATCCATTTGTGTATTATTATTAGTAAATAATTGTTCTAGAAATAAAATAGTAAAATAATAATTAAAAATTGATGCTAACCTTCAGAATTTTGTTCTTGTTCAATAGAGTTCGAATTTCCAACATGTCTATATTTAATATCTTTTTCAGTGAAAATATTTTCATCTTCATCCAAATCAGTACAATTATTGTCCAAGTGATAATTATAAATTGCGCGTCGAATATAGTTTTGACATTTGGAACATTTTATTGTTTTATTACCACACTGATTCAAATGATAAGTCATATTATATGATGGTACATTTTCATTACATAATTCACAAACGAAACATCGACGTTGACAATTTTTCTAAATGGAAAATCTTTCATAAAATGATGATAATCGCAATATATCGTTACTTTATGATCATCTAACTCGATTTGATTGTGAAATTGTTTACTACAATTGCATCTATACATCGATTTTGTATTATCGTTGGTTAAACAAATATATAATAAAATATCTAGAAATGCAGATAATTCAATAGAAATAAAGAAAGAGAATAAAACAATGATATTATTTAACCACAAAAAGACTTCCATGTTTTGAGTGTTAATCATGTTTATTTAATGCGAAGCATCACCTTCTTCCTTTCATGTCTACTTATAGTAATGAAAAGTCACTAAATTTTACATATATACTCACCCTTTATACGGATGTTCAATATAAACTTAGGCGTGACGAACAATTTCCGATTAAAGTTTTCAACTACTTTTCTGGCAAAAAAATGTGCTTCATGTACCTTTTTATTACACTATTGGAAACTCACTTCAAAATCTTAGACTAAATTCTGTCCCATCAAGAGAAAAAGTAAGTTGACTACCGTCTTCACCGACAAGAATCTGTTTATAAATACTATAAAATTCCATTTACTTTTCTTATCAGGTCATTCTTTGTTACTTTCCACGTGGCAAACAGACTAAAAACAGAACAATAAAAGATAAGACACAGACATATTTTTTGTTGCTTTCAGTTATTAAAAAGAGTAATTCTATTTTCTTAACATATATAGATCTAACTAATGATATGCCTCTACTCTTAATTCACGCCCACACCCGCACTCTCTCGGCGAAGTGTAGAGAATACCTGATTCCCGGATTGTAGGCAAAGGTGACTGGAGTTTTTATTATATTGTTGTTGAAAGAGTGGTAAACAAAATGAATAGTCTAAATTAATAAGAACTCTTTGTTTTCTATCCAACTAATAATAAAGGGATGGGTGTGGGTGTGGATACGACATTCACCTAGCATCCACATCCATTTAAGGAACATTCTTGAAAGAAGTTAAAGAAAAATCTTGATCGTCATGTCTATGAGTATCAAATTGCTCAATGAAGTAAAGAGAATTGAATAGATGAATGACATCTATTCTAAATTTCATTTTGTTATTCAACGAAAACTACAATATTATTTGTATCTCAATTATTAATATTAAAGACAAAAGATCAATAAAATTCTCATAATTCATCTTCTTTAAAGAGGCTTAGTTTTCATTCAATGTTAATGAAGATTAAGTTATTTTCATGATGAAGACCTCTTATCTATTGAAAAAAGATTTTCTTCATTCTTTTGATACCTACCGATATTTATTGACTTTGACTCATTTTGTTTTGCATAAATAAATAAAAAGACAGAATAAAAATAAACATTCATTTCTTTTTCAAATTCTTCAACAAATGGCAACAGCAAACATCAGAGTACAATGTTCTATCTGTAATAAAGAAAATACGACATATATTTGTCGTGGATGTTCAAAAGATTTTTGTTTTCAACATTTAACAGAACATCGACAAATTCTTCATAGACAGTTAGATGAAATTATTAATGATCACGATCAATTTCAACAAACAATTATTCAACAAAAACAAAATCCGTTAAATTCTCTTTTAATTCAACAAATTAATGAATGGGAAAAAAATTCTATTGAGAAAATTCAACAAACAGCAGAAGAATGTCGAGAAACAGTGATGAATTTGACACAAAAGTTGCTCAATGATGTCGAAAAAAAGTTTATTGAATTATCTAAGAAATTAAAAGAAATTCGTGAAGAAAATGAATTTAATGAAATTGATTTAAATAATTTTCAATTAAAATTAACACGAATTACAGAAGAACTTCTCACACCAGCAAATATTTCGATTGAAGGAGATTCACAAGAATTTATCAAGAAAATTTCAATTACTTCATCGTTCGGTATGTTTATTAAATTTAATTATTTCATTTCGAAAAAAGAGAAAACGAAGTTTAAGCAAAATATCTTTTGCAGTTTTTCGTATTACGAATTGATTTTATCATCGAGATTAATTAATGATGTCTTATTACGGAATTTAATTCATTGAAGATTTAGAGGGTGGGCTTTTTTGATTTAAAAGTAATAAAAAGGATTTTAAATAAAAAGAAAATTTTTTATTTTAGAAGAAATTGAAACAAAAAAGAATCAGTTTCAGCAATTTGCAATTACCGTTGCTGGAGGAAATAGATATGGACAGGAATTAAATCAACTCAATCGTCCTGAAGGGATCTTTATTGACAATGACAAATCAATTTATATTGCTGATTATGGGAATCACCGTATTGTTAAATGGGAATTGAATTCAAATCAAGGTCAAATCATTGTAGGTGAAAATGGAAGAGGAAATAAAAATAATCAATTGAACTATCCAGCAGATATAATTTTTGATAAAGAAAATAATTCTTTTATTATTTCTGATCGTGGAAACAGCCGAGTAGTTCGATATTTTGATAATAATCAAACAAATCAACAAATTCTTATTTCAAATATTAATTGTTGGGGTCTAACAATTGATAAAAATGGATTTATTTATGTTTCTGATTATGCGAATAATGAAGTAAGACGATGGAAACAAGGAGATGAAGAAGGTGAATTAGTTGCAGGTGGGAATGGTAAAGGAAATCATCTTAATCAACTCAATTATCCTACTTTCATCTTTATTGATGAAGACTATTCTCTTTATATATCAGATCGTGACAATCATCGTGTAGTGAAATGGAACAAAGATGCTAAAGAAGGAATTATTGTTGCTGGTGGAAATGATCAAGGAAATAGTCTCAAACAACTGTCTCGTCCTCGTGGAGTGATTGTTGATCATTTAGGTCAAATCTATGTGGCAGATTTTGGGAACCATCGAATAATGCGTTGGTGCGAAGGAGATAAAGAGGGTGAAACTGTTGTTAGTGGGAATGGAATAGGAAATCAACCAAATCAATTAAATGGTCCCACCGGTCTATCATTTGATAACGAAGAAAATCTTTATGTTGCTGATAAAGACAATCATCGAATTCAAAAATACGAAAAAGTTTCAGATTAAAACTTTTTTTAATTTAATCTGATAAAATTTTGATTTTTACTTTTGAAAATAAATAAAAAAAACATTAATATTGGGGTGTGTGGGTGATGTCTTAACTGAGAAGAATTATAATTATTTTGATAGTATTTATTTGAAAAAAATCAAAATAGTTCTGCACTATTTAGAGCTGTACTAAAATCAATACGTCCACCAGTAACCAATATTTTTCCATTTGGTAATAAAGATACTGTATGATGATCTCGTGAATACTTCATCTCACCAGTAATTGTCCAAGTCTCACTTGATGGATCATATAATTCAGAGCTATTTATATAAGTAGTGCCATATCCACCAGAAACTAGTACTTTTCCATTTGTTAATGTAGATGCGATATGATCAGATCGTGCATAAATCATATTACCAACGGCTAACCAAGTTTTTGTTGATAAATCATATAATTCAGCACTAGCTAGACGATTACCATTATATCCGCCAGTAACTAACACTTTTCCATCTATTAATATGGATGCTGTATGTTGACTTCGTGCAACATTCATTTTCCCAGTAATTGTCCAAGTTTCTGTCGATGGATCATATAATTCAGCACTATCTAAAGCACCAATCGTATCCCCACCAGTAACTAATACATGTCCATCTGACAGGACAGATGTGGTATGATGATGTCGTGGATTATTCATATTACTAGTGTTATTCCAATCTAAACGAAAACATTTTCAATTTATTCTAATAACATTGTATATTTACTCACTTTTTATTATCGGTGGACAGATTCGTTCATCAGTCATTGTTACCGGATAACAAATTGGATAATCGTGACATTGAGGATGTCGGACACAGATCGTATCAGGCTGTTGACATGTATTATTGGAAGAATCACATGTTTGAAGTCTAGAACAAGTTACCCAAAGAAAGCCACAAATACCAGTATCGTTCATAGTATTTGACATATGAAAACAGCCGCAACCGTTATTTGCTGAGCATTGATCATATTGTGCGATGCCGTTGCATGTTTCAGATTTTACGGAAACTATCAATAAAAAAAAACTAATTATATACTTGAATCTGTAAAATTGAATAGAAATCAAACCTATAACGCTAAAGTACAAAAGAAAATCGACATATATTAGTAGAAGAAAAGATAAAAATTAGTATGATCTACCTGAGAAGAACGAAAACAAAATAATGCATGATTGTATATTGAAATGAGATAGTATTATGGAAGCGTTCGTTCTTTTTATTTCTTTCATACAGGTAGGTATTAATACCTATTATTTTAAAATGAAACAATATACCATCGAATGCTTCGATAAGTGGAAACGGGATATCGTTTCGATGCACTTTTTTAATGATAGGATCAAAGACATTGAAAAGTTTAATTTCATAGACTTATATAGATTTCGCAGTTGATATTGATGAAGTAGTACATACAAGATTTGTATATCTTCAATAGATCTTGAGGGTTAGTGTGGGTGTATCTTATTTATCTCACCCACGCTCACACTATACTCCAACGAGAATCTACATTATTTATCTATCGTTGCCAAACGCATATTTTTTTCTTCTGATCTTATAATTTATTTACATAAATACGTACAAAGAACAAAGGTTTGCGTTATGTAATATTAAACTTATAAACACAAACGACCATCTTGAAGGGTGTGGATGAGTATGGTTTGAATAGAATATTCGGACTCAGACCCTAACTTACTCTATTAAAAATGTATTAAGCTAGAGCAAAAACAGTCATTCATATTTATTCTTTTTATATATTTCTTCAAATTTTTGCATGATTTAGAGTTGTACTTTTAGAAGTAAACCCAAGATCAAAACTTTATTTGCAACTGTTCATAGAACACCTTCTTTGAGAGAAAAAGTAAATGATATTTGTATAAAAATCATAGATCTGAATATATGTGATGGTGAGAATGAATAATTTTGCAGGACATAGTAAGAAAATCATAATACTCTCGAATTAAAAAATATCTGGTTAGAGGAGCGCATGTAAATTCGCTTCAAATTACTGACAGAATGAATTTTATTTTAACCAAAACACAAATACTTCTACCGTCTGCGAGACTTCTTTTCTCCTTTTATTTTCGAGTGCCTTTTTTCTCTGGTGTGTTTGCAACATTTAGACAACATATTTCTTTCTTTCTCAACAGGTCTCATATGAAACGATAGAAACCTTGGAAACAGTTAATTACGCAACCAGCGCAAAACAAACGAAAATAACCCACTGACTTTTCTCAGTCAAGGTGATGGTGTGAAGCTACTCGAGACAAAATTAAAACTAAACGTTATCTTTCCACGTGCGCAACTTCACCTGTTCTTCTTTTCTTTTTCACAGTAGCTGGGTTTTTTTCCCAAAACGAAGTTAATAAAAGAGAGACAGTTTTTTTTCAAATTCTCACTTGTTTTCACTTAAGGAGAGTTCAAATTCTACTTTATATTTATTACAAAGATGTCTCGTTATCATCCTTATTCAAGAAATAGTGGAGGAAGACATTACAGCAACAACAATGGCGCAGGTGATCATGCTCCGCATATTAATTTTACTCATGTTGATGGTGATATTAAAGTTGTGCTGAAAAAAGTTATTCAATCAGGTGTAGAACGATCACTTCTTTTAACACCAGAAAAGTTCTTTGAAATTTCACACAAAAGTGATGATATAGTAAAAGCCGGCAAAGCTATGGCTGGTAAGTGTTTCATAAATTATTTGAAATTTACACTTGCTAGTTGATAGCAATTATTTTCATTTAACTCAATCAGTCTCGAGCCGAATATTTGTTTTTCTATTTGTTACAGATTATCATGGAAAAAACAGTGAAACACAACCGCCTGATACTGTTGGACCCTTTAAATTCATTCTTCGTTCTGATTTTAATAATGATAAGTATGAACATATGTATGAATGGGAAGTCCCAAATTCACAACTGAGAGTTAGTATTCGTAATCGTCGAAGTGATGGTAAAAGACCCAAAGACACGCAATTTGTTGTTGAAGTACGTATTTTCGGTTCAAATGGTTTACCAACAGACGATGGAATCATGATGGCATGGCATAACTTTAATGGTGAGTATATAAGGTTCTCACATTTTTTCGAATCATACGATTGGAAGGAGTTTCATGTTTTAAAAATGATGAACTTACAATCTAATTGAAACTTTAATTTACTCACATAGGTACCTTTGTTCATAATCGACGAGAGCGCACGAATAGAATCGAAGAAATGCGTCGAAATGGTGTTTTGAACTTACCAACAAATTCAATCCTAAGTAGTACGACATCAACTTCAGCAACTATTTATTCATCCTCAACAACAACAACAACAACAACTCGAGATTTACCATCATGGACTATCAGTGAAAACCATGCCAATAAAACGGAGCATTCATGCGTTGTAAGTTATTCACCCTACCTCTTTTCATAGTTTTGACTCACTGCATAACAGAATAATTGGCATTCTTCAAATAGATTAAGGCTCTTTTAAATAAACTTAACTTTTGTTTACAACTTCGTTACAATTAGAGAATAAATTTATTCGTGTTACTTTGAATAGCAAAGGGAAAAGGCTTTAACGAAGTACCAAACTCCCATTAGTTTCATCGTTTACTGTAGATATTTTGTTTAATATTTCAGATCTGTATGGACACATATTCAAAAGGTGAAACTGTCAATGGCTTACCACAGTGTACTCATTTTTTTCATTCTAAATGTATTCAAGCATGGCTGGTCGGAAGTAATTCGTGTCCAACATGTCGATCAACAGTTTAAAAACAGTTTTCGTTAGTTTTTTTTATATATCACTATACAAGAAAAAAACTTTTGTTTCTCACCACTCTAACGGAGGGTGAGTTGAATTAGAAACACATTGTTATCGTGATTCATGGAAAAGATCAGTGTATGAATATTTTATAAAACAGAAGTATAGTGGAAGAATTTGTTGTCTACAATTATTTTTTCCCTTTACTAAAAGAAAGGGTTATACAGCGGTTAAATTCTAAGCTCGAACTGCTAAAAGTTTGTCTGTTTATCTTAAACTGATAATCATTAGAAAATGGTTGATCAAAGGTTTTTGACGTCGAGGAACTTGAAGATGTAAAAAAATTATAACAGTTGTACTGTATGTTAATTTCAAGATACAATCATCATATTAAGTTTCATAGTGCATTAATCATTCTTCTGGGTATATATTGATTGAATCCCTATCGATGACAATTAAAATATTTTTATTTTACTTTTCATATACACATGCACAGAAACGAGTATGATTACAAACATAAGAGTAGAATATTAAATCAAAGATTTTATCGTACTTATTATAATAAAACCTCAAACGAAATTATGCGACATCTGTATACCAGTATAGTAAAGGAAAGTATAAATGAAGCAATAAAATTCGTGATTGTGAAATACCATATGGTTCTTTTTTTTGTTTTTGATAAAGAAGATAAAAATATTTGATTTTAAATAGAATGGAAAATGACTATGAAACTTTACGACCTTATCCAGTTGATCCATCACAAGATAAAGTTATTGAAAAAATAGTTTTTGCTAAAAGAAAATTAATACCGCGATTAACATCATTTTTATTTGCAATTTTAACATATCCATTAAAACTATTAAGTAAATATAAAAATAAAAAATTAGCTGAAAAAAATAAAACTAATGAAGAAATTGATGCAAAAGAAATTCCTCCGATCTATATATCAACTTCAAATTCAACAATGGATTTAAAATTTTATTATATTATTCGTTATGGTAAAATTTGGTTTAAACCAATTGGTGCACATTGTGATTCATCATGGAAATTATTTGGTGATAATGGTTTTATTGATCAATTTCAAACTCCATTAATATCAATAAGTGTTGATGGTGATAATATTCTAGCTGTTGATGAAAATCAAATAATTCATTATGCTAAAAGTAATCAAATCATATGTAAAGTTTCATTTGATTGTCCACAATGGGAAATAATTGAATCACGAGTTAAATGGACACAAAAATGGTTTAATATGGATGGTGTATCACTTGTTGTTAATTTATTTAAAAATCCAATATTAAAATCATTAAAAAATAGTCGAAATATTTGTATGTCACATAAAGGACCTGATACAATGTATTATACAGATATGAAAGGTAAAAAACATCCAGATCCATATGTTGGTGTAACAACAATTTATTGTTTGAATGAAGATGGTACACGAATATTTTTTGCTGATCCATGGTTACAAAATAAATTTGAAAATGAATTAACAACACCTGAAGATGGACAATTTATAGCTGAATCAATGGCAACTAGTGGATCAACATTATTTCTTATTCAACGAGGAAGAAATGAATTTGGTAAAGAAATTAATAAAATGTATACAAGATTTGCTGATTTTGATTCAATTGGATCAAATCCTGCACTTGCATCAACATACAATCCAAATAATAATGTTCCTCTTGTTCGTTATCTTCCAAGTGAAGATTGGATTAGACAACCATTTATTAATATTCAAGGTCAAGCTCGTTTAACGAAAAATATTTCGATTTATCAAATTGGTTGGGGACAAAATAATAGACAATTAAGAGTTCAAGGAACAGATGCAAATGGTAATTATGGATTTTATTTTAAAAATATTTATGATAAACAATGGAATTTTCAAATAACAAATGATGTAATTATATCAGAGAATGAATTTTTATCTCAATCAATTTCATTTATTGGTTTTGAAAAAGGTCCACAGATATGTTTTGATTACTCAAATGGTCAATTTAATTCAAATATAAAAAATATTCATTTTGAAAATATAATTTTAGAAAAATTTTCTCACCGTGGACTTAATGAAAGAGGTTTACATACAAAATTAATACTAATATTAGATAAAAATAATCAAATATCAATTCCATTATACGCACGAAGAGGTTGGAGAAGTCTAATAGGTTTATCGAAATCAAATCTTTGGAAATTAGTTATTCCATTAGAATATTTTCAAAATGATAATTATCAAATTCAATTGATTTTAGAAAAAAATTTTCAAAACAAATTTCGACATAATGTTTATGTTTATGAAACTAAACAAGAAATTTTTATTACAAATACTTTTTGTAGTCGAACAAAATTTAAATTTATTTTTAAAATTAAATCAATATAATGCGCAGAATCGAGTGGACAGGAGATTCGACACGTTGTAATTCTTACATTTATTCTTTTCGTTCTAGAAATAATATGTATAAGAATATAATTATTGTCGGTGCTACTGGAAGGTATCTTGGAAAAAAAATAACAAGTAGTTTTCTTAAAAGACAAGATGATTTTAATGTCTCAATTCTTTTGTCGAAAAAAGCAATGGAGGTTAACGAAAATTCTTCTTGGCTTTTTTTTTAATTTAGAATTAGATTTTTGCTTTAGGATGAAGAAAAAAAGAAATTTTTTGAAGATTTTCAAAAACAAGGTGCTAAACTTATTTTTGGTGAACTTGATGATCCTATTGGACTTGAAAAAGTATTATATAATAAATTTTAAATTGAATTTTCTTTTTTCTCATTTTGAATAGTCTCTTGAAGGAATCGATGTTGTTATTAGTCTTTTAACTGGTCATGATCAAGAAATACTTTTCAATGGACAAAAATCTCTTATTGAAGCATCAAAAAAAGCACATGTAAAACGATTTATTACATCAGGTTATGGAATGGATTTATCTCGAATTAAGTTCGTTTTGTTTTATATGTTTTAAATTCATTTTCATTCAAATATTTTTCTTTAGAGAAAATGAATGTTATTATTATGTACCCAAACAACGTATTGAAAGTCTTTTAGAAAATGATTCATCAATTGAACATACATTTATTGCAACTGAACTTTTTGCAGGTTTTATTTTTTTTCACCTAATTATTTCTCTTTAAAAAACTAATTTCTATAGAATTTCTTTTTACACCTGATTTTGGTATTGATATAAAACAACGAATTATCAAATCATTTGGTCCATCAGATATGAAAATTTCTACAACATATACAGATGATATCGCATTACTTTTACCTGATATTATTTTATCAGATGAAAGTAAAAATGCACGTATTAATATTGCAAGTTTTACAACAACATTTAAAGAAATTCATCAAGTAGCTGAAAAAGTTACTGGAGAAGTACATTGAATTATTTTATAAAGATTAAACCTAGTCTTATCTTTGATTTATTTATTAGAAATTTCAATTTGTTGAAGATCGATCATATGAAAATCTTACTAAGGAAGAATTATATAAACAAGTTTTTGAATTTGTTAAAACTGTTTATGCAAGAGGTAAATTAAATATTTCTTTTTAAATAAAAAATTCATTTTCTTTTTTTTTAATAGGAGAGGGATATTTTGATAAACCATTTAATAAAATTCATCCAAAACTTTCAAAAATTCCAACAACGACCCTTGAAGATTATATTAAAATAAAACTCAGTGAATAATAGTTTTTTCTTAATGAGATTTTAAATAAAGAAATTCTACATCTTATTCTCAGCAGGTGAATTTTCAAAAAGAAAATACCAGTTCTATCTGCTGATACAAGAAAACATATTTCTATTTTGTTAAATACAATCTAAGAGAAAGTGTAGAAGTGCTTCGAAGAAAGATTCGGATGAACAAACGATGATCGATGCAATGAGAGACATCATCTTGAGGGTGCGAGTATGGATGTATTTTATTCATAACCACGCCCACACGCACACCCGTTCTCAGAAGATTTTGTGTTTGTTTTAGTGAAAACAAATAGTCAATATATGAAGATGAATATCATTTTATCAATTATTCATTATTTCTTAAGATATTCGAAAAAAAAAGACAAGGCATTATTGAGACCAACAATAATAAATTCTTCTTTTTAATGTACAACAGATATATGTACATACTATTTCTTTCGTTCTGTTCTTTTCTCCATACTCTCTATATTAAACACGAGCAAGAAACGAATAGTACTGAAGGATATGACATAAACCATATTCTTTTACATACATATTATTCATATAGAAAGAAGAAAAAAACAACAATATGGCTGCTGTAGCAAAACTATTGAATGGACATGTTCTTGATAAATCGAATAGAAATATTGATCTTAATGATGAAAAATATCAAGGAAAATTTATTGGTCTTTATTTTAGTGCTCATTGGTAAATTTGTTTTTTTCGAAATTTTATAGAAAATAAGGTTTATTTTTCTTTTCATTAGGTGTCCACCATGTCGTAATTTTACTCCCGTATTAGTTGAATTTTATAAAAAATATGCTGAGGAAAAAAAACTTGAAATTATTTTTATAAGTTCTGATAATGATGATGAATCATTTAATGAATATTATAATGATATGCCTTGGTTAAAATTAGATTTTAAAGAACGTCAAATAAAAGAAGAATTAGATACAAAATTTGAAGTCGATGGAATTCCATCATTAATCTTACTTGATGGAGATACAGGAAATGTTCTTTGTAATGATGCAAGACAACAAATTCAATTTGATGATAAACAAGGTAATCATTTTCCATGGAATACTCCTCAAACAAAAAAATCATCTCGATCTTGTATTTGTTGTTAATTTTATAGAATTAACTATAATATTTATATTGAAATGTAATTATTGTTACACTTTTTCTATACTAAATAAATGTAAACAAAGCAGAACTCTCATGAGAGATATAACATCATTGTTATCTTTATTTTTTGCGAATTTTAGGAATAAAAGTCAATCTATCTATAAATGAAAATCGAAAAAAAAAGAGAAAACTTCTTAATTTCAAATCATATATTAAATTATTGACCATTTATAAATCATTGATATTTCATTGAAGGGTGGGTGTGGATGAACATTGTATTTTTTCTTTTCCACTCACACACACACCCTATACAATAAAAGTCTTATAGCTTAAAGGAGAGATGAGTCATCAATATGTAAACTTTACCTAAAAAGAATAAATAAAAAACAAGAAATAATTGTTCTAACTATAATTTGTATTTTAATAAAATTTAATCAAAATAATATTTTGACTTTTACATCGAATACATTATTCAAATATTAGTTTTTCTCTTAAGATTAAAAAAAATCATACGATTTAATCTTTTCGTTAAATTAAAATTTGATATAAAAAGTTATTTGTCATTTAATATGTAAAAATTATATATTTATAAATAATGACGAGGAAAGAGGATTTGTTTTGTCCACAATCTCTTTTCATAGATTATCCTATTAACATGGGATTTATATTTTTACGCTATATTTTTGTTGTTTATTAACGTGTATACAAACAATAAAACATGAATAAAGGTAAAATGTTAAAAAATAATATTGAATAAGTAAACAAATGTCAGTTTATCGCTTAGATATTGTTATTTTTCTTTGAAATAGTGGGTAACGAAACACTGAAAGAAATATTATTATAGCTCCGTAGAATTTATCATAGTATAGATTTAAAACCACAAATGGAATACAGTTGGTAGCCTTAATGTATTACAGAAAAAACCTCAAGCTCTTACCATACATTGGAGACATCACCGAACCCCCCCCCCCCCCCACTGCTGTACTATGCAGGTTGAGTTGCGTTAAGAAAATATGTCATAGACTATGAAACACTTTAGAATTCAAGTATCGTCTTTTGAAATACTGATTCACTTAATATTTCATCATTTGGTAAGCAATTCGAGTTTTTTATGCCTTAGTGGAATTTAGCAATGACTGTGGAATAAACTTGATCTATCCATAGTCAAATATTCTTGTGTTTCGATCAAATCCATTTTTTAAACAGTTTGAGATCAACTCTTTTCACATTTTGAGGTACACATAACATTCGGATTTTCATTCGATTAGACCTTATGGTTGCAAACATATGACTCTAATTTACCCATAACTTAAATCCCTTTTCCAGTTCATTTTCGGTCGCAGAGATTACTTCAGACAGATCTATTTTTTTCTAAATACCATAATAATCGAATATTTTTGATTATAGAAGCCAAGGGCAACACAAATTTCAACTCCGTAAGTTTGCAACGAAAACTTCAATTTAATCGAAATATATACTATTTTTAAGCCAATCAACTTCCGATATGTATAAAGATTTTATATCAAATTAACTAAATGATTCATACTTTTCTCTACCACGTGTCTTCTCTTTTTTTCTCAATCTCAGTCGATCAGGTGAGCATAAATTATATTATATTTTTTGCAAAACGACTTGGTTTTTTCTTCCTTTTTGTATTCACATGAATAGACACCGATAATATATACTTCATTTCATGTTTTTGCTACTTAAGCATTACGAAGGCATTGACGTCACTCGTCGTCGCATAGCTCAATATATTAACTGATTCTGTTCGTCACTTTTTAATTTTTTTCTTCCTTGTTACTAATCGTTGCATACTCCCTACTCCAGCAAGCATAATACAGCCTATTACTCATGTAAAGAAAACATGGAAAAAACCCGATTAAAATCGGATTTTTTGTAATTTTTGTTACATGGAATATACCTACAAATATCAATTTAGTTTTTGAATAAAATGTCTAGTTTAACTGATATTTTAAGATCATACAATTCATCATAATGTCGATATTTTGAACTTAAAAAGTTATACTCACATTTTATTACTATTTCGGTAAGGATTGAATGAATATTTATGTGAAAGATTAACAATAAGCAAGCACTACTCTAATTTAAATAAAGAATCTAATTTGAATTTCTCTTTTTATAGTCAAAGACTGTTTTTTACCATTACTATTTGAATAAAAATGCAAAATTCAAGAAGTTTCAAACTTCTATTGTTCTTCTCTATATTATGGAAATTAAAAGCAGAGTCAACTTGGCCAACAACTTCATCCGCTGTCAAGTTACTTGGTATTTTTCCTCGACAATCAGGCAATAATGTATTGATTATTCATTCTCGTTCAATGTTCAGAGCGGCTATCCTATTGTCACAGCAATATAATATTACTTTTCAAGGACAACATCTAACTTATGAAGAAATCTTAACAGATAATGATATTATGGTTACATTTAATCATACATGTCAAAAAGTATCAACATCGAATATAGCTGGATTCGTAGGTCCAGCATATTCAAATGAAGCACGATATGTTGCATCATTTGCATATCGATTAGGAATACTCGATGTTTCATATTCGACGACAAGTCCTGATTTATCAACTATTGATACTGGAGCTTTTTATCGTGTGTCTCCATCAGATGAAAAAACTGTATTAGGTATAAAAATATTATTTCAACAATACAAATGGAAATCATGTATTATTGTATATCAAAATGATGAATTTGGTTACAATGGCATGCATTTATTGAGTCAAAAATTGAGCGAAATGCATATAAAAACTTTTGAAACAATTAAATTTGATATAAATCAACAAAATTTTCAAATTGATTTCAAAAAAATTTTACTTCATAGTTTATCACGTATTGTGATTGTATGGGCAAATGAAATATTAACAACAACAATATTGAATAAAGCAGTAAATGATAATTTAATCGATCAAGATTTTCTTTGGATTTTAACAAGAGCAGTTGCATTGGAATCTTTCAATTCAAGACAACAACAAAAACTTATTGGAATTCTTACTATTCAACCTGTTCAAGAAGATTTTATTAATACAACATTATTAAATGATGCATATAATATATGGAAATTTTATGAATCTGATACATTTCCAGGTGATACGAATGTCAGTATTTATGCATTATATACATTTGATGCTACATGGTCATTAATATTATCATTACAACAACTTTGTTCAATGGAAGTATCATGTTTAGAATTTATAAATGTTTCAGATTGTTATAATCGACGATTTTTAAATTCGAAAGAATATTATAATATTATGAAAGCAATGACATTTTTAGGTGTCTCTGGTCAAGTGGAATTTGCTAATGGAACACCAGATCGTATTGGTAATGTACATTATGTTATTAAAAATATACAACCAGTAATGAATGATATTGATTTTATACCTGTTTTACAATGGGATGGTAATTCAACTAAATGGATGCCATATAGAAATCAATCTTCGAATATTATATGGCCAGATCGAACAAAAACTATTCCAAATGATCATAAATTAATTCAAGGTAACGAATAAAAATTTTCGCATTTTGTTATATGTTTTTGTTTTTTAGGTCAAGAATTACGAATTGCTATTATTGAATCACCTCCATCTATAATACTAAAAAATCCAGCGGCTATATACAATGATATGAATGATAATTATAAAAGAATTGATATAACAGAATTCGATGGATTTTATAAAGATTTAATCTTATATTTACAAGATAAAATGGGTTTTATACCTGTTATCATGTTAGCAAAACCAACTATACGTTATGATGAATTAGTTGGTGGTGTAGCAAATGATTCTTATGATATTGTTATGAGTAGTATTGATATAAATGCAAAACGAAATCAAATTGTTGATTTTTCGATAGCAATTATGCCTGCTTCGTATAGAATTATTGTACGAAAACCAGAATCTATTCGATCAGATTATTTTATGTTACTCAAGCCATTTTTCTGGGCACTTTGGGGGCTTTTATTAATCATGATTCCTTACACAAGTGTATTAATATGGCTTGTTGAACGAAAAAATGAAAATAAACATTCATTTATAGGAACTATTATTGTTATTAGTTTTTCAATTTATAGCCCCTTTGGTACAAGTCGTCCACAAATTAAAACAAATGCTGGTCAATTTCTTGCTTCGATTTTATATATCCTACAGATATTATTAGCAATACAAACAGCTGGATTAATTTCATATTTAATGATACCAGAATCTATACTTATCATATCAGGAATAGATGATATTAAAAATGGTATCATACCACCAAACCGAGTAGGAATTCTAGTAGGTTCTCAAATAGAAGAATATTATTTAAATTCTATATCACATGGTAAAAAAGATTATTATCCATTGAAGACACCAGACGAAGTTTATACAGGTTTGATGAACGATTATATTGATGCTAGTCTATGGAGTAATATATCAAGTACATATCATGTAAATAATATGTATTGTGAATTAATGACTGTAGGCGTTGCATTTAGTCATAGTTTCTATCAAATACCAGTAAAACGTGGTTGGTTATATAAAGCAGATTTAGATTCTCATATATTATCATTCATGGAATCGGCAGAAATTGATCGAATATCAGCAAAATGGTTTGGACGATGTAATTGTTC